TTTGGTAAGTGATTGTAAGTGGAACATACGTGGATTGTGCGTGTTTTGTAAGTGATATGTGCGTGTTCTGTAAGTGATTCGTCAGTGATGTGCGTGCTAGGAGCCAGTTCCTGACGCACAAGCACTGACGGAACACTGACAGAACACACACATATCACGCACCTTCCACGTCCAAACTACGTACAAACTGCGCATAAACTGCGTATAATCGCGCACGTTGTGCGTGGAAATGTTTTTGAACCGTTCAAAACCGGCGATCGCGCACAAACCCGTCTCCGCGTACAATCACTTACAAAAACTGATGCTCCACGTGTGAAACACGTGAGATTTACGCACATCACTGACGAATCACGCACAAAGAAAATTTTATGCGCAATTCATGAGTAATTCGTGCGCAAGTGCAGTGGGACTGGGCCTTTACAATAACTATATTTACCATACACGTGGCTTTGCCGACATTGGGTATGCTGTAGGCACTGTAGGTAGAGATACACACTGATGTATACATGATGATAGCGCCAATGATTATCACGTTGTTTATTCGAGGGCTGGACATCTTTATGTTTCTGAAAATTAAAGGAAATTTGCCATGGCAACAATGTTTAAGCTTTAAAGTCAAGTTACCAAATATTTTTCTTACAGGTAACAAAACAGTTAACGTGATGCGAAAGTGCATTTCGCTTAGTAAATTAGCGAAACATTTATGAAAACTTAATTGTAAAATAAAATGTATCGAAACGTTGGCTATAGGCTAAAGAAAGAAATGTAGCGTCAACACCCCAGGACAAAAACGCAAACATATGTGATATATCAAAATGTACCTAAGTAAGCATAAAGGCAGAGACATATTACAAAACAAGATCTCGATTATCTGGAGGAGAATGGCCACCTGGTATTCAGTATAGACAAAGAAGCATCGTTATGGGGAAAGAGCAAAGATGGTAGATGTGTATAATTAATAAACGTTCTAATATTCTTTTTGTTAACATAACTGTCTATTAAATATATTGCCACACATATCTTACCTCCCTCCTCTGTTATTTTGAGCCAAATACGTTTTAGATGTGACTCTTCTATAACCTTACCGATTTTCTCTGAAATATATGTTGAATGTTAGAAAACCAAACGCCATTACAAATCCAATGACGTCTATGATGATTATTGAGACCACAGCGCTGAGGGGGACAGTGAAATATTTCGTCACGTAGGTAAAAACGTCCTTAGGAATTTTTCCTCCTGAAATACAGAAAAGAGAAATTAGTGTCTGTACAAACCTGTAAGAATCATCAAATAACCAACTTACACTATACCAATGTCAACTTTAATAACCAACTTACACTATACCAATGTCAACTTTAATTGGCTCTCAACATCGAAGACTGAATTTTTAAATGCGTCCTTAAGTTTTGTATCATGGTGTATGATGTCAATAGAGAAAACTGTTAACCATTACTCACTCTCCATACATTCAAGATACTGCCTGTAATTACCAATGTATCATTGATAGCTAGTGCCACAAACCGGTCTTACAAGGTCATCTTTATCTCCCGATATTCGCGTCAGGATCAAAGTTTTGCACTAAAGGTATATCCGGTGCCCATTTCAAGAGCACTAAAGATCAAGATATCGATCAGAACGTTGAAATATGTAGTATGTATTTCCTTCCTGCTTAAAACACTGACAAACAAATGGGTCACATGTTCTGTATTATGACGTAATTATCTTTGTGATGTCATTCGATGGAGATAACACACCTATCCCTTAAGAACTGATGTTCCTTTTTGCCGACATTGACCATAACGTGTTTCATAAAGTTATGTACAATTATAAATTTGTACACTGTGAATATGGGTCTGAAATTGTATAGATTCAGTATAACAATTTTAAATATATTGAGTTTTGATTACTTTGATAACTATCAATAAACGTAATTATTTCTGGTTTCTGAGATTTCCAATTATGTTCTATTTCTAGCGAATTCGCAGTAGAAACACTCAATGCATTAATTACTCAAAAATATAACACCTAGTTTTAAACATAATTTATCTTATACACAATACAAATAATCGAAATTGAATCACTTTTGACATTAGCCATCAGGCAGGCATACCTGTGAATTGCTCAACCTACCTTGGAACAGCATACTTGGGTAGATAGTCCAGTTTAAGACGTCCTTCTCTGGATCAAACTTCGCCACTGAAGTCCTCACAAAATCTGTAAAGGAAGTTGAATTATTTCGATTTCAGAATATCTTTTTCTTGATAAAATATTCATCACCAGTCTTTAATTGTCGCTTGCTAATGGATCCTTATATACTGACAGTGGTTCTGCTTCGTTTTAATGTGTTCATATATCGTTTGAAATTATTAAGATACCACTTGATAAAGCTTAAAAATAATCGCTTAAGTACACATATTCAAATCCTCAATCCATCAGACCGCAGAAAGTTACGACAACCTCATCAGAAAAAAGAACGTGGAAATGATTACGTTGATAGAGGTGAGTTCACAGACAGATAATAATTATGACGTCATCATTGACATATTACTTTTGTTAGACTGGATGTAGGATAATCCGATACGTCGGCCATTGTTGAAAGAAACAGGTCCCTGGAAAAGTCAAACGAACCGTTACAGTTAAGACATTTAGCACACAACATGATACTTTTTTATGTAAGTAAATAGATAACTTAATGGTTTTCATCTGTAAAACCATCTACCATAACAATATTTGCCTATACACTATAATTCTAGTGACGTCGCAACAATATACCTCCTCCCCACCCCTATACCACTCCCTCCTCTTTTACATACGGTTACGTATATTATATTGTCTCCACAAATATGGCGGATTTATTTTGGATTTAAGAGGGAAGAAATTGTTTAAGTTAACTTACTAGCAATAATATATTACTAGCGATTCCTATGACAGATCATGATCTTATTAATTAGTAAATTGTGCATAAAATAGGACAGTCAGAAACTTACGTCAGACTAATAAATATATTTCAAATCCTTCGCTGACATGAAAGTCTCAATATGACCTATGTTTATATAGTGTTTGGATGGGGTTAGAGGAGATTTACTATGTTTCTATAGTGTTTGGACAGGGTTACAGGAGATTTACTATGTTCCAATAGTGCTTGGACAGGATTACAGGAGATTGACTATGTTTCTATAGTGCTTGGACAGGGTTAGAGAAGATTTACTATGTTTCTATAGTGTTTGGACAAGGTTAGAGGATATTTACTATGTTTCTATAGTGATTGGACAGGGTTACAGGAGATTTACTATGTTCCAATAGTGCTTGGACAGGATTACAGGAGATTGACTATGTTTCTATAGTGCTTGGACAGGGTTAGAGAAGATTTACTATGTTTCTATAGTGTTTGGACAAGGTTTGAGGATATTTACTATGTTTCTATAGTGTTTGGACAAGGTTTGAGGATATTTACTATGTTTCTATAGTGTTTGGACAGGGTTAGAGGATATTTACTATGTTTCTATAGTGATTGGACAGGGTTACAGGAGATTTACTATGTTTCTCTAGTGCTTGGACAGGGTTAGAGAAGATTTACTATGTTTCTATAGTGTTTGGACAGGGGTACAGGAGATTTACTATGTTTCTATTGTGCTTGGACAGGGTTACAGGAGATTTACTATGTTTCTCTAGTGCTTGGACAGGGTTAGAGAAGATTTACTATGTTTCTATAGTGTTTGGACAGGGGTACAGGAGATTTACTATGTTTCTATTGTGCTTGGACAGGGTTACAGGAGATTTACTATGTTTCTCTAGTGCTTGGACAGGGTTAGAGAAGATTTACTATGTTTCTATAGTGTTTGGACAAGGTTAGAGGATATTTACTATGTTTCTATAGTGTTTGGACAGGGTTACAAGAGATTTACTATGTTTCTATAGTGTTTGGACAAGGTTTGAGGATATTTACTATGTTTCTATAGTGTTTGGACAGGGTTAGAGGATATTTACTATGTTTCTATAGTGTTTGGACAGGGTTACAAGAGATTTACTATGTTTCTATAGTGTTTGGACAGGGTCACAGGAGATTTACTATGTTTCTATAGTGCTTGGACAGGGTTAGAGAAGATTTAATATGTTTCTATAGTGCTTGGACACGGTTACATGAGATTTACTATGTTTCTATAGTGTTTGGACAGGGTTACAGGAGATTTACTATGTTTCTATAGTGTTTCGACAGGGTTACAGGAGATTTACTATGTTTATATAGTGCTTTGACAGGGTTACAGGAGATTTACTATGTTTCAATAGTGCTTGGACAGGGTTACAGGAGATTTAATATGTTTCTATAGTGCTTGGACTCGGTTACATGAGATTTACTATGTTTCTATAGGGTTTGGACAGGGTTACAGGAGATTTACTAAGTTTCTATAGTGTTTGGACAGGGTTACAGGATATTTACTATGTTTCTATAGTGCTTGGACAGGGTTACAGGAGATTTACATTTAGTGCCGTTTGGTACCCAGGGAAATGCTATTCTTTAATTTGTTTGAGAAATGATAAAGTATGAAGCATTTCTCTAGACATCAATACCTAAACGCATTGATTTCCTTCTGTGCTCGAATAATGATATGGTTCACAGACTCTTCAAACTGTGTCTGAATTTAAAACAAAATCAAATTTATCAAAATAACACGTTGTATTGATATGACAGAAAATGTATGGTTCGTCATAGATTACTCACTGATACGCCTTCAAAACGCACTTGGTCCATTTTGTCCTGAATGATGTTCAATATATCGCTATTATTGTAGTTAAAGGCAGTCAGCGAAGATCCATTAAGACATGCAATAGAGGCGTTCAAGGCCAGCGCGAGCGCCCAGGCGGTGTCGTATCCAAATGTGTGCTTCCTGGTTAACTTGTAATCAGGAAATTGGGCCATATAACTTCGGATGAATATGTCATATTCGGCGACACTCTGAATTGTACAACAGATTATAAACAAGCCTGTTTCTCATAATATTACATTGTCCAATATATTTTAAACCTAGAAAAGATAATTAATTTCATTTTCAAGAATGGCATAACTTTAAAAAAAACAAGTGTTGATGTAAAACCTAAAAATAGAATTGCAATAGTTACTCTGAACTCTTCGATAAGCTTAATGTTATCTGTCATTTTTAACTGTATGGTTCCAACCTTACAAGTTCAGTGAAATACAAATGTTATAGGCCTGCTGTATCTCCTTTATCTTGTAAGAGGCGACATACGGCGAGCCCCTGCTGTATTTCCTTTAACTTGTAAGAGGCGACATACGGCGAGCCCCTGCTGTATTGCCTTTAACTTGTAAGGGGCGACATACGGCGAGCCCCTGCTGTATTTCCTTTAACTTGTAAGAGGCGACATACGGCGAGCCCCTGCTGTATTTCCTTTAACTTGTAAAGGCGACATACGGCGAGCCCTTGCTAATTTTATTTTTTTGACATTAGAGAAACCAATATTATAATGAAACAGTGTTTCGGTGCACTTTATTTAAATCGACGTTTTTTAATGTGTTTTTTTTAAAACTAAACTGCTCTTTTTTGCCTGTATTATGGGTTGGGGAGAAGGTGACCTACCCTGCCACTGATTGTTTGCTGGTCACTCTCTCCAATATACTCATTGTCTAGTGTGATATAGCCTTGCGCTGCCTCCAGAATCTGCTCTCTCGTACATCCTGTGCCGGCACCGTCCAGACGCGAATCTGTCCAGGACGTATACATCGAAGTACCTGACAGTATCCACACGTATTTATGTCCATACATGCCCTGTTTGTACACCTGGAACACAAGATATGGCTAGTAGATTTAGAGTAAATAAATGCTTCTTGTGAGATTATGTCATCTTTCTCGGTATTATTGAATTGTCTTTCTTTACTGGATCTAGGTACCAAGAATGATCAATTACGTTTCTAAATAAATTCAATCGTGCAACAACCGTTAATTAATCTATTTGAATATAGAAATTAACAGGAAAACATGTTGTATAATCTAAGCAATACGTTTTATCTATAAGTCGGTGTGTCCATTGCTTTTCCATCCTTGGTGAGGATAATGAAATAAATCAATCGTTAACGTTACATCCTGTCATATCCCAGCTAGAATTCCTATTTCTCACGTTATTTATGTTAATAACTGCCGATACCATTGAGATGCACTGTTGATCATGTTTTAATAATTATATAGATAGTAAAGTACATATAAATTGAAGATCGGGGACCAGTCATTGTCTAATGCAAAACTATTTTCTTAGGTTCTTCCGTGAATCAACAAAACCACAGTAACCACAATTAACACAAAACGTCGATATGTAAGATTTAATGAACAAGTGTTACTGACAACATAATTACTGTATCTGTCCAAATGAAAAACCGAAGTCATCCCTACAGGTCGGGGATCAAGAAAAGAATACACCTGCTATTTTATTTCCCACTGCATGTATCGTAAGAGGCGACTTATGAGGTAACTCCCTGCAGAATTGGGGATTTGCTTTTCTGCCAACTACTTGGGGACACTAAATGACCAATATAAACCTGCTGCACCAAATACAATTTTTGAAATCTTTCTATATCTCTCTGCTTCCCCATTTAAGGACGGGCCTTCGTGTGTGTTGTGTAAGCGCGCAGGCGTAAATGTGTGCCGGAGACAGGGTATGTTAGTGTACTTGCCTCTTTGTGAAAGCGCGGACTTTATAGTGCTATCTCACTGAAATACCATGCCGAAGGCACCTAACACAGCATTTCCGCCTGGTCACATTATGTAGACAAGTTCATCAATACTTAGCACTTGAAATAACAACGGTATGGCAGGAAACAAGTGATATAATGGCCGTAGTTCTTAACAAATGTAAACAGGCATCAAGCAATGGTAAAAGATAACTTATTACTGTAAGAATAAATAGGAGTTTGACAGATAGGCGTTACAACCCCAAAAAAGAGGAAGCGTACTCCTCCTTCTTTTATCCTATACACAATGTACATGTATCTATTTTTGAACAAGTTTACTCTTTACGAATTCATGTGTCAGCGATTACTGTCTTCAGCGAAGAGAATAATGGGTGGGGGATACTTGTTTCACCTGTAAACTGATCATAATCACTAATCATGTTTAAATATCAATCTCGAGAAGGACTTGGGGCGTTATGGGTCATTTTTGGCCTCATAACAAAAATCAATGAGAATGTATTCACCAATTTCTTTTATAAACATCAAATTAGTAAATTGGGGTTATCTCTCATGGTGCAGATTTTGTCATTGCGCATGCGTAGATACCCCACCATAGCAACATACAAATGCGTTGCTATGGAGAAATAAGCAAACAAAAGTGTTTTTAGACAGTTAATATGCAAAAATTAAAGTTTTCGCATGTGACAACCAAAAATTCCTTTCTACGAATGAACACTAGTAAGACAATATTTAAGCATACGAAATATTTATTTTCTTGGTGAATGCGGCGAATGTTCCAAATTGTAGAGTGTTTAGTTAATTTGCTTTAAATGACATTTTTTCCAATGAAATATCGCACGTTAGACGATATTCACGCATTTTTTAATGACAAATAAGGGTTCATACCTCTTTTTGTTTTTCCAGTTGTCAAACGAATTCGAAATTTCATATTTAAATCTTCATTTACCCAGTGATACACATATAAAAACTAAATCCCTGATGAGGCTGGAAATGGCCTTCAGTCCTTTCAGTCTCACGAATCTATGGCTTGGTTAACCGTCTCTGTCTGACGTCCGACCAATCAAAGCTGTCATCATGTAATTGCTTCTGTAAGATGACTTCCTCCGACCTCTTTTTCTAATCGTGACTCTCAAACATCATACGATACAAATGAAATAAACTAATATCCTGTCATACCCCAGCTAGAACCATTCCTATTTCTCTCGCTGTTCATGTTTATAACTGCCCATATGGAGCTATTCTATTATTCGGTCATTACCTTTTGTTATTTGTGTCTAAGTTACAGTATAATAACAGTGTCATGCCGCTTGGGTATATGTTAGCCTTAAAAGCATTATGAGGTGTTGCTTGTGTCAGTGCAACAGCTCAATTTCATCACATGGGATCTACTGAACCTTTCGTGTTGCATTTCCAACATAGCGAACTATTTATTACATTTTTGCTAGTGAAATATCGGATTCTATCAACTTGATCAAACTGATATCTTTTACACTTTAACAAATATCAAAAGCGATATTTTTACAGTGTTAAAATATCACTTTTTGGTATTTACCAATCATAATGGTATCTTCTATTCGCTGCATTCAAAGGCAACGATTTTTTTTGTTCAGATTATATATGAAGCGACTGTAGAATAAGTGGTTGTTATGGTAAATGTTTGGTACACACACTTACGTATTTACATAAATATACAATTAATAACATTTTTATAAATAATCATACCAGAAAATAGCAGAAAACTTTGGAATTGTGTTGAGTATCCCATTCAAAATGGCACGCAGCCTTGTTGTCAAGTGTGACATCATTAGGATATGGCGCTAATTATTACGATTCTGATTCCCGCCCTATTCTAATGCATTACATTTTTCATGTTTTATGCTTTAAAAATGTAATAAATAGAAAATGTAATGGTGTCTGCAGTAATAAAAAAGATATTCCACTTGCGTGGCTAATATTTTGATAGGTTTCACTCGTGCTGCGCACTCGTGAAAAATATCAAAATATTAGCCACACTCGTGAAATATATTTGTTATTACCGAATACACCATTAAATATCCTCTATGTCTTTAGCGTAATCAGAAAAGACTCGTCCATTGACAATTATAAACCAACGATACCTCACAGAATATGGCCGGTGCTTGTGATGACCTGAACGCTCCGAATATAACTCTGGAATTATATTGCTGAAAAGATGAAATGATTTAATTATGGTTTGGTTTACTGGTTTTACGTCTTCCTTACCGACGGTAGCCTGTGTTCGGCCGACACCTCAAATCTAAAGATGTTGATGTTCTTCTTTTCTATTTGATTTATCTTGTTTGTATTAATTTACTTTGCGAATATATCGTTGTATAAGTGTTGTTACATTTAATTCGATTTAATACACCCATACACTTTAACAATGATTACCTTAACCTTGATAGAGGGAAACGAATCCCATCCTATACACACTGAGGTTTATTGACAAAGTCCAGACTGTAAAATAATGATCTACGTTACAGAGATGCAAAACAACATATTCAAGATAATAGAACCATGGTTAAGCTCATACAGAAGAAAGGCTGTTTAAATCCTTTTTCACAATAAAAATTACAATAACATAATTTAGTCTACTTAATACAGTTTTACCAAGCACTACAGAGAAACACATATCTGGTTATGTTTGCCTCACCTTTAACCGTAGAATATGTTCACTGGTTCTGCCAAGGTCAACAATAACACTAGAGGCTAGCAGGGTGAAGTTCTCTGTTTGTAGCAGTGAGTGGAACTCATCTATTTGCTGCCAAGTTGAGAATGAAATGACCAGGTTGGTATATAGTATATCAAACAATTAATTAGCGTGCCGTAAACTATGAGCTTTACCCTCGAGTGATCATAAGATTTCTTCATTTATTTACCGTCACTCAAACTTATAATAATTCATTGAATGTGTTCACTATATCTATTCTATGTACAAAGCCTTAATGTGAAAGGTTAATGTTCATGCAACGGTTCCTTTACCCCGAACTCGATACTCACTGATCCAAAGTAGTCCTTGTCAAAGAGGATGGTAGATACCTGGGTCCAACCAAAGTACTTCATCATCCCTATACGGAGTGGATTGAGGTCGTCTTGTATAAATACCGTACTATACATGGACGGGTATAGTACTCGGTCCTTAATGGTAGACGTCCCGGCTATAAAGCTCATCTGGATATAATACATGATTAGAAACCTGATGTATAGCATTATTATACAGCATGTTTATACTTTATTTTCCTCATTGTTTTTAGCATGTTAGTGCTCCCACTTTGTACAGTACATGTTAATTGTCAGAAAACTAGTATATCGGGGAACGTTGACAAATATTCCAACAGTATAATGGGATCCCCGCGGAATCTGTGTCGGCATTGTGCTGTGTAATATTGATATATTTCAATTTTAAACATGAGTATTCTGTTAGTCGACATTTTGGCTTTTCTCTGAGGTTGAATTTACCCAAGAGCTTGACAGAATAAGTATTAGTGTCCTCTCAATCAAGTTCATTGTAAAATGTACCGACGATAAACTGTCCTTTAAAAGCAACAACAAACCCCAAATATTGTATGACCTATCTACCACGATATTTATTAACAACGTGACTTTATTTATCAAGCAGGTTTGTACGATGATTGTAACACACGAGAATGTAACATAAACCTTTCAGTTATCAACACAACGTCCATTTAGTTATCAACACAACGTCCATTTAGTTATCAGCACAACGTCCATTTAGTTATCAACACAACGTCCATTTAGTTATCAACACAACGTCCATTTAGTTATCAACACAACGTCCATTTAGTTATCAACACAACGTCCATTTAGTTATCAACACAACGTCCATTTAGTTATCAACACAACGTCCATTTAGTTATCAACACAACGTCCATTTAGTTATCAACACAACGTCCATTTAGTTATCAACACAACGTCCATTTAGTTATCAACACAACGTCCATTTAGTTATCAACACAACGTCCATTTAGTTATCAACACAACGTCCATTTAGTTATCAACACAACGTCCATTTAGTTATCAACACAACGTCCATTTAGTTATCAACACAACGTCCATTTAGTTATCAACACAACGTCCATTTAGTTATCAACACAACGTCCATTTAGTTATCAACAGAACGTCCATTTAGTTATCAACACAACGTCCATTTAGTTATCAACACAACGTCCATTTAGTTATCAACACAACGTCCATTTAGTTATCAACACAACGTCCATTTAGTTATCAACACAACGTCCATTTAGTTATCAACACAACGTCCATTTAGTTATCAACACAACGTCCATTTAGTTATCAACACAACGTCCATTTAGTTATCAACACAACGTCCATTTAGTTATCAACACAACGTCCATTTAGTTATCAACACAACGTCCATTTAGTTATCAACACAACGTCCATTTAGTTATCAACACAACGTCCATTTAGTTATCAACACAACGTCCATTTAGTTATCAACACAACGTCCATTTAGTTATCAACACAACGTCCATTTAGTTATCAACACAACGTCCATTTAGTTATCAACACAACGTCCATTTAGTTATCAACACAACGTCCATTTAGTTATCAACACAACGTCCATTTAGTTATCAACACAACGTCCATTTAGTTATCAACACAACGTCCATTTAGTTATCAACACAACGTCCATTTAGTTATCAACACAACGTCCATTTAGTTATCAACACAACGTCCATTTAGTTATCAACACAACGTCCATTTAGTTATCAACACAACGTCCATTCAGTTATCAACACAACGTCCATTCAGTTATCAACACAACGTCCATTTAGTTATCAACAGAACGTCCATTCAGTTATCACCACAACGTCCATTTAGTTATTAGCACAACGTCCGTTTAGTTATCAACACAACGTCCATTTCGTTATCAACACAACGTCCATTTCGTTATCAACACAACGTCCATTCAGTTATCAACACAAC